ATGATTTGAAAACATATGACCATGAACAAAACACCCACTCCAGAGTACACTGGGCAGTGTCCTTTTCCTCAATCTCTCCCCTTGCAGTGTGAAAGTTTGACAAACAAATGTCCCTTTACCCTGCCACTTCCCTCTCCCCCCACCACACCCCACTCACAGTTGTCCTTGGTCAGCGAAGAGGAGTTCACCTCCCACCCTGGGGAGGAGAGGGGAAGCAGCAAGCAATGCCTCAGCTGTCGCTCCACCATTGGCCGCTTGCTCTGCTGTCAGCTGCTTCATTGGCCGCTCACTCCGCCACTGCTTGCTCCTCGGTTAGCCTCACCAGTTATTCCCCATTTTGTAGTTGTCCATTTGATTTTTTTTCCTTCCTTCCTAAGGAAGTCATTTTGTTGATTTCAAACAAATTCTCTAATTTATCAAGGTTTTTCTGTATTCTAATCCTGTTCTCCAAAGGGATGATCTAAGTTTACTTGGTCCTGCTGCCTCAGCACAGAGTAATGGACTAAATGACATGCATCCGAAGAAGTGGGTATTCACCCACGAAAGCTCATGCTCCAAAACGTCTGTTAGTCTATAAGGTGCCACAGGACTCTTTGCTGCTTTTAAATGACCTTGATATCCCTTCCAGCCCTATGTTCTGTGATTCTATGATCTCAATGGATTTGGCGGGAACTCCTGCTACAGCAAGCAGAATCCCTGTTCTATGCTTCACAGAAGAGGTGATTTGAGGATTTTTGCTAACTACTAAGTCCTGTTGCATTTGTGATAGAGGAGCTTCCCTACTTCCTTTCTGTGCTCTGGTTTGTACTGACATTGACTGATGCTTTAACATTGCCGTATTTGATCTTGTAGTCAAGACTGAAGAAATAAACCCTTTTTATAGGAAATCAAATGTACATAAAGAAAAGGAATAGTTCTAAGAAACTATCTGGAGAATTAAGGCTAAGAAAGGTGTTCTGGACACAGACTTCTTCAATGGTAACTTATCTTAAATGGAAGTTTATTGATAGAAAATTATAACCACAAAGTGTCAGGAGATTGAGTTTTTATTTTAAAAAAGAAATACTGACTAATGAGCACACTTTGCAGATTGCACCCCAAAACTTACATCAAAGGAATGTTATTTAGGTTGCAAAGGCAAGAACTTGACAGCTAGGAAATGCCAGTATAAAAAGGTATGTGGCCCCCGCTTAAATGCAATTGGGCTCAGCTCCCCTGTTCCAGTCCAGGTGCACCCTACTTTGGTGTAATGAGAAGGGTGGGGCTGCCCCTGGAGCAAACCCCGAGTCCAAAGTCCGGTGAGAACTTAGGGCTAGTCGACACTAGAAGGGCTACGTCGGCGCAGCTGCTCCAATGCCACTGCAGCGCGTCTGGGGAAGATGCTCTATGCCGACGAGAGAGCCCTCTCTGCTGAGGTCGCTGTAACTTACGTCACTCGGGGGCTGGCTATTTTACGCCCCTAAGTGATGTAAGTGATCTTGACTTAAGTGGTAGTGTAGACCTGCCCTGAGAGGGAGAGTTGAGGGCCCAGAGCAGAAAGGAAGAGAACCCAGAGAGTAACGGCAGCTCAGAGGCAGGGCAGAGCTGGGCGCCGAGCTTTCAGGGGGGCTGTCCCTGCAGGGGGAGCAGTCAGTTCCCCAGCGGAGCCAGAGCAGGCTGGTGAAAGCTGCAGACAGGCAGGCAGGGGGTCACCTACAAACTTCCACAGGCCAGAGAGCTTAGAGAGGGCTGAAGGCTGAGAACAGCAGAGGAAGGTGCCTGCTGGCTCTCTGAACCAGAGACCTGAACTCAGATGGCTAAAGGCTGGGGAGTGATGCAGGGGTGTGTCCACTGCCAGCAGATCAAGGAACGTGATCGTTCCCCTTTATTCGACATTGGTGAGGCCTCATCTGGAATACTGTGTCCAGTTGTGGGCCCCACACTACAAGAAGGATGTGGAAAAA